GAGCGACCCGGCATCTCAGGCGATCTCATCGAGATCGCGCCTGAACAAATTGGTCCTTCGAGCCGGATTCGGCGCGCGTGCGGAGGCAGGAAGAGATTCAAGAAGCGACATTCTAGAGTGACATGACGGAGCAACTGGGCGGACAGCCGCAGTTCCAGCGAATCATCGAGCGATTTCTGGAGAATTTCAAAAGGATCGGGAAAAACAATCTCTCTCCCGTAAAAATCCGTTCCCGAATCTCGTCACTCAAGGAGACTTGGAACTAGTTTCTGAACGGACACGCGGCCCTAGCCAGGACGATTTCCGCGGACGTGCGAGCGACCCTCCCCTACTTCAAGGAGAACCAGTTCGAGACGACGAATGCCGTCTACGAAGCCGCCCTGGATTACATGGCCGAGTGCCTCGAAGAGCTGGAACCGGTAGTGAGTCCCAATCACTCTTTCGCCGCGTCGACCATGCGTACGGACGGTTCGGCCTTTTCTCTCTCTCACCTTCCGCCCATTCGATTGCCCCCTTTCGACGGCAATTACGATGAATGGGAGCAATTCCGCGATAGATTCACCGCGCTTATCCGTAAGAACAAGGAGCTCGACGACTTCACGCGCATGCATTTCTTGTCTTCGTGTTTGAAGGGCCGCGCTGCCGAATGCATCGCAAACATCGCGGTTACCGCCGACAATTTTGAAATCGCGTGGCAAACGCTGACTATGCGGTACGAGAACAAGCGACGATCCCTCAACGCGCATCTCTCCTCTATTCTCAATTTGTCCGTTCTCTCGCGCGAGTCCGCTTCCGAATTACGCGCCTTAAATGACAAAGTCAATGTCGCGATAGCTTCACTCGAAAATCTTAAACGCCGACCGGACGACCTTTGGAACGACATGTTGGTTCACATCGTCGCGCAGAAGCTCGACCCGGTCACCCGCAAAGCGTGGAACTTAAAGGAAGGAGACAAAGATGATCCGCCTTCCTACGTTGATCTCCGCCGTTTTTTGGACTCGCGCACTCGCGCTCTAGAGAACTTTTCCCCCTCGCCGTCGGCTAAGGCTGCTCCGAAAGCCGCCACCGCCTCGCGCATCCACAGCGCAACCGCCTCCGCGAACTCACAAGCAAAGTGTCCTTTATGTCCCGCGCAACATTTCATTAACAGTTGTCCCACATTCAGCGGGAAGAATCCGAGTCAACGTCGCGACATCGTCAAGCAGCACAAACGCTGTTTCAACTGCCTCAGCGCGAAGCACTCTGTCCAAGCTTGTCCGAGCAAATACTCTTGTCGCGTGTGCCAACAGAAACATCATTCGATGCTGCACGTCAACCCGGATTCTTCCTCGAAATTAGCTGAAGCGGACGCGCCCGACAGCTCGTCAACTGCAACGCCGGACCCGAAATGCGATGTCAATTTTTTGTCCGCTTCCCATACCACGCGTCACAAACCGTCGGTTTTGTTAGCGACAGCGTGGGTGACGGTGAGCGCAGAATCCGGTCGTTCCGCCGTTGTCCGAGCCTTGCTCGATCAAGGCTCCGAGATGACCTTCATCTCGGAGAACCTTGCGCAAACTCTACGAGCGAGGCGCGTTCGTCAACCGATCTCCGTCTCCGCCGTCGGCGGCGTTCACGCCGGGACCTTTACGCACATTACGCGTGTTTCCGTTTCCCCGCGCCAATCTCTCGTTCCGTCGTTATCAACCACCGCGCTCATATTAAAATCTTTGACCTCTTACACTCCCAAACAAAGCATGGATCTCTCTTCCCTATCTCACTTGTCCGATCTACAGTAGGCAGACGAGGATCCCACCAGTCTCTGCCCCATCAACATTATAATCGGAGCAGATCTTTACAGCGACATAATCCTTGACGGTGTTCGAAAGGGAAATCCCGGGCTGCCCCTCGCTCAGAACTCCGTCTTAGGCTGGATCATTTCGGGACCGATCGATGCGTCCTCGCGGGATGACCGCTCTAACCCCTCGTCGGTCAATCGCGCCCTCCCGAGTATTTCCGCTCATCATTTGTTCAATTCCCCGACATTGGAGGCGAAACTCCGCCGGTTCTGGGAGGTCGAAGAGCTTCCGCAAAACCCGACTCCCGCGTCCAAAGACGTTCTCTGCGAAAAGCATTTTCGCGCCACTCATTACCGCGACCCCTACGGTCAATACGTTCGTCTCCCCTTTAAGAAAGGCCCTCCGATCTCCATCGGCGAATCCAGGCCCCGCGCCGAACAAATGCTAAAGGCCCTGACGCGCCGGTTCCGGGATAAACCCGCGTTCGAAAAAGAATATCGCGAGTTCTTGGAAGAGTACGAACGATTAGGACACATGCGACTCGCGGCCGCTCCTTCGGATCAAACCGAGCAACACGTGTACATTCCGCATCACGGCGTCATCCGCGAAGGCAGCTCTACCACCCATCTCCGGGTGGTGTTCAACACTTCGTCAGTCACCTCCAACGGAACTTCCTTGAACGACCACTTACATGTCGGTCCGAAACTGCAACGCGAGATCATGGCTATCATTATGCGATGGCGCCAGTACCGCTACGTCTATTCGGCTGATATCGCAAAAATGTATCGCCAAATTTGTATCGATTCTCGCGACGTGAATTATCAGCGCATCGTTTGGATTCGGTCATGCCTCGAGCCGTTAGTTTCCTTCATATTGCTCACAGTAACGTACGGAATGATATGTGCGCCCTATCTAGCCCTACGCGTTTTGGAGCAACTTAGCCTCGACGAAGGTCAAAACTTTCCTCTCGCGACCCTTATTCTTCGCGACAACATTTATGTCGACGACGTGTTGTTCGGTGCTGACGATACCTTTCGCATACGGCAAGCGTGTAATCAGCTCGTGTCATTGTTGCGACGCGGCGACTTCGAATTAAGGAAATGGGCTAGCAACAGCCCCTCCCTTCTATCGGATCTCGACGCCGCCGATCACGGCCTCGCCTGTCACAAACAACTCGCGCAAGACGAATAGGTCAAAATCCTCGGCATAGGGTGGAATCCGGCCACCGTCATGTTCGAATTTCGGGTATCACTGTCGGATGTCACCCCGAATAGCAAACGAGCCATTTTATCCGCAATAGCCAAGCTTTACGACCCCCTCGGCTGGGTCACTCCAGTAATAATAACGGCAAAAATATTTATGCAACATCTCTGGCGCGCGCGAATCGCATGGGACGACGCTATCCCGGAAACCCTCCTCCCGAAATGGCGGGAGCTGTACTCTCGATTATCTCACCTCAGTTCACTCCAAATTCCTCGCTGGACCGGGCTTCGCGCGGACAACCTTCGCGCTGAAATTCACGGGTTCGCGGACGCATCGAACGTCGCGTACGCCGCGGTCGTTTATCTCAAGGTTGTCTCCGCGTCCGGTGAGATAACGGTCACTTTGCTCGCTGAAAAGTCAAAAGTCGCGCCTCTCAAGCCACTGAGCGTTCCCCGGCTCGAGCTTTCCGCCGCATTGCTCCTCGCGCGGCTCGTACACTTCACTCGCGAGTCCCTCGATCTCGCTCGCCTACCGTATCATTGTTGGACAGACGCGAAGATCGTACTCGCCTGGCTTAAACAGCACCCTTCGCGCTGGAAAACGTATAGCGAACCGAGTCGCGGAAATTCAATCCCTGCTGCCGCGCGCGGAATGGCGCCACGTGCCCACGGAGGACAATCCGGCCGATTGCGGCTCGCGCGGAATATTCGGTGATGAGATACTGGGTCACGACCTATGGTGGCGCGGGCCTCCATGGCTGACCTCCGACGCTGACGGATGGCCGTGCGGTGAAGCGACTTTGCCCCCGGACGCTCCCCTCGAGGAAAAGGTTACGGCCCTGCAAAGCGTCGATCCGCTACCGGACTTTGATCTCGCCTCTCGCTATTCCTCGTGGCCGAAGCTGATTCGCGTTACCGCTTACATCCTAAAATTCGTTCAGCTGTGTCGAGCGCCTTGCTCTCGCGCCACGCCGCTCGCCCCTCCGCCGCCTAATAACCCCGCGCCGCGAAGCACCGCTCTGTCCACCTCCGATTGCAACGCCACAAAAACCTTTTGGTTCAAACGCATACAAAACGAGTTGTTCGCTCCGGAAATTCACGCCCTATCGAAAAAACAAGCTGTCGTCTCCAGCAGCTCGCTCTTAGCGCTTCGACCATTTCTGGACAAAGACCGGATTCTACGCGTCGGGGGGCGCCTGACTAAATCTCCCTTTCCGTTCTCGTTTCGTCACCAGATACTCCTCGTTTCCCACCCCTTAGTCACGCTCATTGTGCGTCAAGCTTATTCGCGGGCCCTGCACGCCGGGCCTCAGTTAACTTTAAATATCTTGCGCCGAGATTTTTGGCTAATCCACGGCCGAAGCGTCGTCAGGTTCGTAATACACAAATGCATCGCCTGCGCTCGCGAACGCGCCGCGATCCCCACTCAAATAATGGGAGACCTTCCCGAACCTCGCGTGTCACCCACTCTTCGATGCTTTCTGCATTGCGGACTTGATTACGCGGGCCCGTTGCACGTTCGCGCCTCCGCCGGTCGGGGAATCACCTCGCGCAAGGCTTACATCGCGCTTTTCGTGTGCTTATCAACCAAAGCGATACATCTGGAATTAGTCTCCGATTATTCCACCTCAGCCTTTTTAAACGCGTATTCACGGTTTTGCGCTCGCCGCGGGCTCCCTCAATCTATGTACTCCGACAATGGCACGACTTTCGTCGGAGCCGACCGTGAAATGACTTCCGCGTACCGCTCAG